TAATAGTGAGGTCACATGACCGACCTGACCTCATGTGACCTTTGAAAAATACGAGTTATACAAGTTGGACATCCTGGGAGGCTACTACGTCCTGTAAGTTTCATCTTTCTGTGAAAGTTCCTCTGGTACTGAGGGCGGTGCGAAGTTGCGACCTCTGAGGACAGTGCAGAAGTTCACTTATGACGTCATAGGTCAGTGACCTTACGTAACCAGAAAATGTGGTCGAAGTCATAAGATCCGGCTTAAATCATAGGTTAGGTATTCCAAGTTTCAGCACTTTTGTCTCCGGCGTGTCCCGAGCTATCACGAAAAACCCTATGGGAAGAGGCGGGTGCTGCCCCTCTGCCGGCGAGGGTTAATCAATATTGACGCAATGGTGACGTCACGGTCGCCGTCGACGTCACCATTCGAATCAGAGTCATTGAATTGTGCCGAATATCAAGTTTAAGATTGATGCTTCAACGGATCTGTATATCAGTCGAAAACACCTTACATTCCTTTTTACTCGCTAGATGGCAGAAGCGTCAAACGCCTGAATGTATGCTGTGCCGCAATGCCGGCTCTATTGTATATAACCGCCTAAATAAATGGCGGAGTAATGAGGGATCCGGGAAAACCACTATCTCTTTAGAACTGATGACTCGCACGAGACTGGAGCTTTTGAGGACGATTATCGAGTATGGTAAATGCGTCTGGCATTTTAGCCAAACATTCCGTTTTACTCGCTAGATGACGCAGAAGTGTCAAACGCCTGAAAGCATGTTGCGCCGGAGTGCCACCTCTTCTGTATGCAGCCGCATGGATGAAGATTTAAGCGCAATTGGCGCAGCCGTTCTCGCCGGTGTGTGCCTACATAGAGGTCCAACCATGCCGCTGAAATTGATCTATCATACAAAGCTTTATAACAATGCGCGTAGTGATTTTCTTAACAAACGCAAAAAAGCTAATAGGTGTGGCTAAAAACACCTTCGCCCCACTCGGGCGGAGGTTAATGTGTTTTGGTAGCAAACTCGCCGATTGTTCCCTGTTCGAGTCTTCTACTGCAATCACAAACACATTTCGATTCGCGGCCAACCATGCAAAACATAGCCCGGTGAAGGACTGCTCCGGTTGTTTTTTTTCAATAGAAAAGCACAATTCTAACGAATGGTGTTTGTCTAATGAAGAAACAACCTGCGGTTACCCGCCGCCAAACGAGAGGATGAGATTGGCACGTGCAGACCGGAGTGGGTGTGCTACGAACTGACGAACAGGACACTCTACTAACCACTCTAGCGGTGTGCAAAATTTGAGTGCAATCGGCCCGGCCATTTTCGAGATATTGAAGCGGCACCCTTCACGTGCGCACGTGCAAGCTGGGTCCCAACTGACTTGTGCACGGCACTCTAGTTGCCGGTCTCTAGCGGTGTACCGAATTTAAGCTCAATCGGCCCAGCCGTTTTCAAGATCCGGAAGCGACCCCTACAAGTGCGCACGTGCAGTTGCACCCCAACCGTGACACATGAATATACATACTAACTGACTTGTGCACAGCACCCTACTAACCAGTCTCTAAAGGTGTGCCGAACTTGAATGCAATCGGCCAAGCCGTTCCTGAGATCTGGAAACGTCACCCTGCACGTGCGCACGTGCAACTTGGGGCCCAGCTGACCTGTGGAAGGCACCATACTGCGCGGTCTCTAGCGGTGTGCCAAATCTAAGCACAATCGGCCCGGCCGTTCTCGAGATCTGGAAGCGTCACCCTGCACGTGCGCACGTGCAGTTGCACCCCAGCCGTAGCACATGGAAAGGCATGGTCCGGCGGGTGCCTACATCCTTGTGTATGTAGTTTCAGCAGAATCTCACCAGTAATTACCGTGTTATTGTCATCACAACAAAAGTGACCCCTCTCCGTTTTACACGTGTCACGTGCAGTAGGGGTCACCCGCATGCTTCGTCCATAGTAAAATACTTCTCCGGAAGGGTATACGCAACCCCATACAAAAAACCGCAAGTGTATCGGTCCAGCGGTTGCGGAGATAGGTCGTACAAAAACGTCCTCACGGCTGCCGGCCGCTAATATTCAGCATTAAATTCGTGTCGCATCCTTCTATGGGAGGTATCCCCGTCACCTGTTCGTATACTGTCTGAGTCAAGACCATATATAGGTTTGAGCTCAAATCTCGGTAATGTCGTGCTTTTTTACTTAATTCCTCAAAAACGGCACGACGTGCAATAACGTTCTATATATCATTGGAAAGAGCATCAAAAGTTGTATAACCTATCAACTTTTCACTTAAATATATCTCAAATGTAAAAAGTTATTAAGCAACAAAGACGCTCCCATTGACTTTCCATGTTAAATTTTTTCATTTGTAAAGAAGCCTAAAGACAACAAACGAATTCTGACAGCTTAACGAAACATAACAACATGTTCTATGGTCTTTTCTCAACAAGTTCTGAAAGTTTAAACAAAATCGTATCATATAATTTTGTACAATGAACGAATGAAAATGTCTCTGCAAAAACGCCCATTGACTTAATTAACATGGGGAGCGAAAAAAGTTCAACTTTGACCTCGTGCAAAGACACGTTACGAAATTCTGAGGGGTATAGTACGGCGCACACTAGCGTGTACCCAAACGTGTTTGCCATAAAATTCTAGGAAGAAAACCACCTGCTTCTTGGCTCGTTTTCCCGCTATTGGCGATCGCGCAAAAAAGTGTCCAAAACCCCATTGACTTAACATGGGGAAAATGAAATCGCACGTGCCACGTGCCACGAGGTTTAAAGCGAGTAGCGACCGGTGCCATCAGGTAGCTCGCCTGCGGGAGCCCATACCCTGAAATTTTTACGAAGATTGAGCGATTCGTTTAGGAGAGGCTCAACTTGTCTCGATTCGCTGCCAGACATGCAAAACATAGCCCGGAGAAGGACCGCTCCGGTTGTTTTTCAATAGAAAAACACAATTCTAACGAATAGTGTTTGTCTTTTCAAACAACCTGCGGTTACCTACCAAGACACGTGGAAATGCATCGCCTGGAATGTGTCTACCTCCATGCCAAGTTTTAGCGCAATCGGCCCAGTAATTACCGCGAGCTATTGCACTTATTACAAAACAGGCACCTCTTGGCTTTGCACGTGGAACGTGCGTTAGGGGTCACCCATATGCATCGAGAGTAGCACACTATGTGAAAGAAGGAAAAAAGCTACCCAACACAAAAAACCGCACGTGTATCAGCCCAGTGGTTGCCGAGATATAAGTCGTACAAAAACGTCCCCACGGCGGCCGGCCGCTATTTAGCAGTAAAATCGTGTCGCATCCTTCTATGGGAGGTATCCCCGTCACCTGTTCGTATACTGTCTGAGCAAAGACCATACGTTACGGTCCAAACTCCATAGTGAGGCGGACATACGAATTTACGAGAGTTTAGCGACGAAATGATTCACTTAATTGTTAAGTAATGGGTACCATTAGGTAGACCATAAATTTTATCTAGCATCTCACCGTAGATGCAGTAAAAAGTGCTTTACTTTTCAATGTATATAAAGACTTGCTCAGCTCAATCAGTTCACTCTGTATTGGCTCAAGCCGTATCATGCGAACGCAATGCAAACTAGAGCACCGACAGCGCAGCGCTCCCCAACTCACTGCTCGCCCAGTCCACCCGGGCCGCCGCCACGACGGCCCCCCGCAAGTAGGCATCCCGCACTGCACCGACAGCCGCGGGCGACCAGCTGACCGGCCAGCTGACCGGCCAGCAGCCGGCGGGCGGCAGGGCGCGGATGGCCGACCCGCCGGCGCGGCGAGGGAGGGGAGGAACGCAGCTGAAAGACCCGACTACATATATATCAAAGAAACATTATATGTAATCATCGATGACGCGACATAAATCTGCTTTATTGGGGTTAGCGGTGTAGTCTGTGATGCCATCACAATGAAAATAGGCGCCTAGTTTTGTACAGCATCAAATTCTGATTCCATAACGACTCTCGCTAGTCCATTTTCAATTGTAAATAAGCCTTTTATTGCGATGCAAAGTCCCGAAATGGTGCCGACGGCGGCCGGTCCCCCGATGGTACCATACCATAGATGGTAAACAGGTTAGTTCACATTCCCGCCGCTATGCGGGCGGCGGCGGCGCCACCTGTCCTCGTGTCCGCCTGACACCGTAACGATATAGGTCTGAGCTCAAATCTCGGTAATGTCGTGCTTTTTTACTATATTTCTCAAAAACGGCACCACGTGCAATAAAGTTGTATATATCATTGGAAAGAGCATCAAAAGTTGTATAAAATATCAACTTTTCACTTGAATATGTCTTCAAGGTACAAAGTTATTAAGCACCAAAGACGCTCCCATTGACTTTCCATGTTAAAATTTTTCATTTTTAAAGAAGCCTAAAGACAACAAACGAATTTGCACAGCTTAAAGAAGCATAACAACATGTTCTATGGTCTTTTCTCAACAAGTCCTGAAAGTTTAAACAAAATCGTATCATATAATTTTGTACAATGAGCGAATGAAAAAGTCTCTGCAAAAACGCCCATTGACTTAACATGGGGAGCGAAAAAAGTTCAACTTTGACCTCGTGCAAAGACACGTTACGAAGTTCTGAGGGGTATACGGAGCACACTAGCGTGTACCTGAACGTGTTTGCCATAAAATGCTGGGAAGAAAACCACCTCCTTCTTGGCTCGTTTTCCCGCTATTCGCGATCGCGCAAAAAGTGTCCCAAACCCCCATTGACTTACTATGGGAAAAATGGAATCGCACGTGCCACGTGCCACGAGGTTTTAAGCGAGTAGCGACCGGTGCCATCAGGTAGATCGCCTCCGGGAGCCCATACACTGAAATTTTTAAGAAAATCGAGCCACAAGTTTAGGCCTGACCCAAGTTGCCCCAATTCGCGGCCAGACATGCAAAACATAGCCCGGAGAAGGACCGCTCCGGTTGTTTTTCAATAGAAAAACACAATTCTAACGAATAGTGTTTGTCTTTTCAAACAACCTGCGGTTACATGACTGAAAACGTTACACTGCTTTTCGCCCGGAACCCCTACTTCCTGAAATCATTTTTCAAAATTAATTGAGCAGTGTGCTTGCTGAGTTTTACTTTACCCGAATTCCCATTGAAATTACTAATCGTAGAAATAAACGCTGCTTCCACCGCCTGTCGGTTACGCTTATTTAATCCCACGCATAGGTTTGACATCGCCGACCAGTTTGGCAAATGCCCCGCGTCATCCACATGCTGCACTATGGCGTTAGATTCTTGGTGATTCCGCAAATCTCTTTTGTGTTCCTCTACCCGTTTAGCTGCACCCCTGTATGTTTCCCCTATGTAGCTTTTTTCACAAACGCCACATGGAATTTTATAAACCACACTGTTTTGGTTGCTTGCTTTCTTCTTGCGCCGTAAAATATCCTTAATTGTTGAACCCGATGGAGATGTAATGTTTAAGGCTCCCCTGGTAAAGCTTGTGATCACTTCAGATTGTTCTGACAGAGGTACTGATATATATTCCTTTCTTTTCGTGGCATTTGAATTGGAGGATCTTGAGCGGATCTTTATAGCTTTCTTTTCTAGCTGAAGGAGAAGACCCAAAGGGTAGCTGAGTTTGGTAAAAGTTGTCCTAATGTACTCTAGCTCGTTCTGTAAATATTCCTTTGAACAGATGCGAAACGCTCTGAGATAAAATCCCAAAACGACTCCAGTCTTCGTTCTTTGACTGTGCGACGAATAAAAATGGATAAAGTCATTCTTGTTGGTCGGTTTCCGGTATACGGAAAACATCAGTCTTGATTCTCGGTTCCAAATCAGTGTGTCTAGGAAAGGGAGCTTGCCATCTTGTTCCTGTTCGCAGGTGAACTGTATTTTCGGGTGCACGTCGTTGAGCTTTCGAAGAACACTGTCTAAATCTTGTTGCTTGTTCACTATAACCAGAATGTCATCCACGTACCTTAGCCATGTGGTGCTTTGACCGACGATGTTCAGAAAATGATCCGTTTCTAACGTTTCCATGAAGATACACGCGAGCACAGGACTAAGAGGGGAGCCCATCGCCAGACCGTCTATTTGTTTGTATTCATTGCCTTCAAATTCCAGGGCGCCAAACTCAACGCAAAGTCGGACTAGGCGAATGAAGTCCGCTTTCGGCACTGGCAGTGCAATGTCCTGGTTATCGTCCAGTGCTCGTCTTACTGCTTCCATGGCATCTTGTAAGGGGACATTTGTGAAAAGCGATTTCACATCAAAACTTGCTAGTTTTTTGTCATTCATTCTTTCATCCTTTATTCTGTTCAGCAAGTCACCAGAGTTTCGAAGGTGGGTTCCGCTTGTTTTTCCCAAAAGGTCCGATAGCGGCTTAGCAAGCTTTTTGGCCAGCTGATGCGGCGCGCTTCCCACACCCGAGGTTATAGGGCGCATTGGGTTCCCCGACTTATGTGTTTTTGGAAGGCCATACATACTTGGGGTGATCGGTTTCTCTTCCAGCAAATACTGAAGCTTCTTACCCTCTGTGGAGCCGTTCAGAATCTTCCTCACTTCCTCACATAGGGTAAGAAGCTTCAGTATTTGCTGGAAGAGAAACCGATCACCCCAAGTATGTATGGCCTTCCAAAAACACATAAGTCGGGGAACCCAATGCGCCCTATAACCTCGGGTGTGGGAAGCGCGCCGCATCAGCTGGCCAAAAAGCTTGCTAAGCCGCTATCGGACCTTTTGGGAAAAACAAGCGGAACCCACCTTCGAAACTCTGGTGACTTGCTGAACAGAATAAAGGATGAAAGAATGAATGACAAAAAACTAGCAAGTTTTGATGTGAAATCGCTTTTCACAAATGTCCCCTTACAAGATGCCATGGAAGCAGTAAGACGAGCACTGGACGATAACCAGGACATTGCACTGCCAGTGCCGAAAGCGGACTTCATTCGCCTAGTCCGACTTTGCGTTGAGTTTGGCGCCCTGGAATTTGAAGGCAATGAATACAAACAAATAGACGGTCTGGCGATGGGCTCCCCTCTTAGTCCTGTGCTCGCGTGTATCTTCATGGAAACGTTAGAAACGGATCATTTTCTGAACATCGTCGGTCAAAGCACCACATGGCTAAGGTACGTGGATGACATTCTGGTTATAGTGAACAAGCAACAAGATTTAGACAGTGTTCTTCGAAAGCTCAACGACGTGCACCCGAAAATACAGTTCACCTGCGAACAGGAACAAGATGGCAAGCTCCCTTTCCTAGACACACTGATTTGGAACCGAGAATCAAGACTGATGTTTTCCGTATACCGGAAACCGACCAACAAGAATGACTTTATCCATTTTTATTCGTCGCACAGTCAAAGAACGAAGACTGGAGTCGTTTTGGGATTTTATCTCAGAGCGTTTCGCATCTGTTCAAAGGAATATTTACAGAACGAGCTAGAGTACATTAGGACAACTTTTACCAAACTCAGCTACCCTTTGGGTCTTCTCCTTCAGCTAGAAAAGAAAGCTATAAAGATCCGCTCAAGATCCTCCAATTCAAATGCCACGAAAAGAAAGGAATATATATCAGTACCTCTGTCAGAACAATCTGAAGTGATCACAAGCTTTACCAGGGGAGCCTTAAACATTACATCTCCATCGGGTTCAACAATTAAGGATATTTTACGGCGCAAGAAGAAAGCAAGCAACCAAAACAGTGTGGTTTATAAAATTCCATGTGGCGTTTGTGAAAAAAGCTACATAGGGGAAACATACAGGGGTGCAGCTAAACGGGTAGAGGAACACAAAAGAGATTTGCGGAATCACCAAGAATCTAACGCCATAGTGCAGCATGTGGATGACGCGGGGCATTTGCCAAACTGGTCGGCGATGTCAAACCTATGCGTGGGATTAAATAAGCGTAACCGACAGGCGGTGGAAGCAGCGTTTATTTCTACGATTAGTAATTTCAATGGGAATTCGGGTAAAGTAAAACTCAGCAAGCACACTGCTCAATTAATTTTGAAAAATGATTTCAGGAAGTAGGGGTTCCGGGCGAAAAGCAGTGTAACGTTTTCAGTCATGTATAGAATTGCTAATCTGTGAGTGTCTGTGAACGTCCCCATTCGACCCCGTTCGACCTCGATTGTATTTCGATATAGGTAGTTATTTTTATATGGTGTGACCAAGGGATTATTCCCGAAACACATGTGTAACCAATTTTAATATAAAAACAACACGTTCCCATTGCCTTTCCCATTTATATCAATACGTCTATGTAATAATAATAAATCTGAGCACAATAGGCCCGCACGTTCTCGAGATCTCGAAGCGTCGCCCTGCACGTGCGCACGTGCAGTTGCACCCCAATCGTGGCGCATGGAAATACATACTAAATGACTGGTGCACGGCGCCCTACTGATCGGTATCAAGCGGTATGCCAAATTTGAGCACAGTCGGCCCAGCCGTTCTTGAGATCTGGAAGCGTCAGCCTGCACGTGCGCACGTGCCAAATGGGTCCCATCTGACTTGTGCACGGCACCCTACTCGCCGATCCCTAACGGTGTGCCAACTTTGATCACAATCGGCCCAGCCGTTCTCGAGATCTGGAATCGTCACCCTGCCCGTGCGCACGTGCAGCTGCACCCGAACCGTGACACATGGAAAGGCATTGCCCGGTGGTTGCCTGCATCCATCCCAAGTATCAGCGCAATCGGCAAACTAACTACAGAGCAATTAGACTTGTTACCAAACTGACGCCTCTTCGTTTTGCACGTGGCACGTGCATTAGGGGTCACCCATACGCATCGAGAGTAGCACACTACGTTTGGGAAAGGAAGAAACTATCCCACACAAAAGACCGCGAGTGAATCGGTCCAGTGGTTGCAGAGATATAAGGTTTGTAAAGGCGCCCCACGGCGGCCGACTGCTAATATTTAGCAATAATCAGTGTCGCATCCGCACACGGGAGGTATCCCCGTCACCTGTTCGTATAGTCTAATGTGGTTGGGTTCAAGTCACAGTCGAGCCCTGCTTTTTTAACAACTTTTCTTAAAAACGGCACATCGTGCAGTGACGTTCTATACATTGTTGGAAAGAGCATCGAAAGTTGTATATTTTATTAACTTTTCACTTTGGTATATCTGCAACGTAAAAAGTTATTAAGCAACAAAGACGCTCCCATTGACTTTCCATGTTAAAAATTGTCATTTGTAAACAAGCTTTTAAAGAAAAAAACGATTTTGCACAGCTTAACGGAGCACAACAGCATATACTATGCTCCTTTCTCAATAACTCTGGAAAGTTTGGACGAAATCGTGACACATAATTTTGTACAGTACGCGAATGAAAATATATCTGCAAAACTGTCCATTCACTTAACTGTCCACTTAGCCCAGCATCTGCGATGCTGGGCTCCGCATCGCGGGACCGCAGGTTGTTTGAACAAGCACCTTTGTAAACGCAGCAAAAACGCCCGCCGCCAAACGAGAGGATGAGCCTTGCACGTGCAGACCGGAGTCGGTGTGCTACGGACTGACGTGCACGGCACCCTATTCGCCGGTCTATAGCGGTGTGCCAAATTTGAGTGCAATCGACCCGGCCGTTTTCGAGATCTGGAAGCGACACCCTGCACGTGCGCACGTGCAGCCTAGGCCCCAATTGACTTGTGCACGGCACTCTATTCGCCGGTTTCTAGCGATGTACCAAATTTAATCTGAATCGGCCCAGCCGTTTCCAAGATCGGGAAACGACCCCTACACGTGCGCACGTGCAGCTGCACCCCAACCTTAACACATGGAAATACACACTAACTGACTTGTGCACGGCACCCTACTAACCAGTCTCTAGTGGTATGCCAAATTTGAGCACAGTCGGCCCGGCCCTTCTCGAGATCTGGAAGCGTCAGCCTGCACGTGCGCACGTGCAAAATGAGTCCCATCTGATTTGTGCACGGCACCCTACTCGCCGATCCCTAACGGTGTGCCAACTTTGATCACAATCGGCCCAGCCGTTCTCGAGATCTGGAAGCGTCACCCTGCACGTGTGCACGTGCAGCGGCACCCCAACCGTGACACATGGAAATGCATTGCGCGTCGGGTGCCTACAACCATGCCAAGTATCAGCGCAATCGGCAAACTAACTACAGAGTTATTAGACTTGTTACCGAACTGACACCTCTTCGTTTTGCACGTGGCACGTGCATTAGGGGTCGCCCATACGCATCAAGAACAGCACACTACGTGTAAGAAAGGAAGACGCTATCCCACACAAAAGACCGCGAGTGAATCGGTCCAGTGGTTGCAGAGATATAAGGTTTGTAAAGGCACCCCACAGGCGGCCTACTGCTAATATTTAGCAATAATCAGTGTCGCGTCCGCACATGGGAGGTGTCCCCTTCACCTGTTCGTATACTCTAATGTGGTTGGGTTCAAGTCACAGTCGAGCCCTGCTTTTTTACAACTTTTCTTAAAAACGGCACATCGTGCAGTGACGTGCTATACATTGTTAGAAAGAGCATCGAAAGTCGTATATTATATCAACTTTTCACCTATATATATTACTAACGATAAAAGTTATAGAGGAATAAAGACGCACCCTTTGACTTTCCATGTTAAAAATTTTCATTTTCAAACGAACTTTATTAGAAAAAAACGATTTCTGCCAGCTTAACGAAGCACACCAACATGTACTATGCTCCTTTCTCTACAAGATATAAGAGTTTGGGCGAAATCTATCTCTAAAATTTTGTACAAAGATCGAATGAAAATGTCTCTGCAAAGTCTCGGCATCGCCGTCCATTGACTTAACAGGGGACACAGCAAAATTCCAACTTTGACATCGTGCAAAGACACGTTCCGAGATTCTGAGGGGCATACAGCGCACACTGGCGTGTACCCAAACGTGTTTGCCATAAAATGCTGGGAAGAAAACCACCCCTTTCTTGGCTCGTTTTTCCGCCATTCGCGATCGCGCAAAAAGTGTCCAAAACCCCGTTGACTTAACATGGGGAAAATGGAATCGCACGTGCCACGCGCAAAAGACTTCTTAGCGAGTAGCGACCGGTGCCATCAGGTAGATCGCCCCCGGGAGCCCATACCCTGAACTTTTTACGGAAATTGAGCGATTCGTCTAGGCCCCAATCAAGTTGCCCCAATCTCAGGCCAACTTTGCAAAACATACCCCGGACAACGACCGCTCCGGTTGTTTTTCAATAGAAAAACACAATTCTAACGAATAGTGTTTGTCTTTTCAAACAACCTGCGGTTACCAGCATCTGCGATGCTGGGCTCCGCATCGCGGGACCGCAGGTTGTTTGAGCAAGCACCTTTGTAAACGCAGCAAAAACGCCCGCCGCCAAACGAGAGGACGAGCATTGCACGTGCAGACCGGAGTCGGTGTGCTACGAACTGACGTGCACGGCATCCTATTCGCCGGTCTATAGCGGTGTGCCAAATTTGAGTGCAATCGACCCGGCCGTTTTCGAGATCTGGAAGCGACACCCTGCACGTGCGCACGTGCAACCTGGGTCCCAATTGACTTGTTCACGGCACTCTATTCGCCGG